AAAGTAATAAATGATTGATCATTTGTGTTTGGGTAAAACTCCATTCAAGATTTTTTCTTTAATTCAAAATATTCGCCTCGAGCTAAAAATCAACACATTTTATTGTTGCAACACTCGGCTGCGCCTCGTAATTTGACATAAAAAGTAAAAGAATTATAAATAGATTAGCGAAATTAGCAAATTTTGCACAAATCTACGATTTTTATTGTCCCAACGCTCGGCTTCGCCTTGCAAATTTGACATAACCGTCGAATAAAAGTAAAATAAATTCATAAATTTGGAGCAAGTTTGGTTTTAGTTCGAACTGCAAATGCAGATGTTTGATTATTGCAATACTCGGCTTTGCCTCGGCTTTTGGTGATTACAGCCCTCGGCTGCTGGTCGGGCTGTAAAAATTTTTTTCCCGTGGACTCGTTTTCCACAATTTGTGGTCAGATGATTTACATTTTCCATAATTTATATTACAACCGGTTTAAAATTTTTATTTTTTTTATAGTCCAAGTTTATTATAATTATTTTTCTGACATAATAAACTCCATTTAGGATTTTTTTTTAAATTAATTCGATATATAACTCTCGGCTTCGCCTCGAGCTAAAGACCCAACACATATTACACAAATATAGGAATTTTATTGTTGCAACAGTCGGCTGCGCCTCGTAAATTTGACATAAAAAGTAAAAAAATTAAAAATAGATTAGTGAAATGTTTGGTTTGGGTTTTATATTAGAAAATATTGCACAAATCTACGATTTTTATTGTTACAAGGCTCGGCTTTGCCTCGCAAATTTGACATAAACTTTGAAAAAAAGTAAAAAAAATAACTAAATTCAGGGCAAGTTTAGTTTTGCTTCGAATTGCAAATGCAGATTTTTTGTGTTCCAATATTCGGCTTTGCCTCGGTTTTTGGTGATTACAGCCCTCACCTACGTGTCGGGCTTTAAATTATTTTTCTCAAAATTAAAATTTTTGATTTTTTTGTAGTCCAAGTTTATTATAATTATTTTTCTGGCATAATAAAGGGGTGAAAAACATGATTTTTTGCATTTGGGGCACTTGTAAATTTTCCATACCTCAGTTGCAACTGCTATAATATTTTAAAGCTTTTCTATTTTTCTAATTATCATCATCACAAATGTACATTTTCCCTAATTTATACTACAATTGTCATAAATAATGTTTTTTTCTGTCATTTGGGACTATTTTTATAATCTTTTTAATGCAAAGGGGGAAAAGTATGATTTTTGTCAAGTCGTAAATTTTCCATACTTTATTTTTACAGCTATAGTTTTTTCAATTATGACTTAATTTTTGCATAGAAGACGTCAATGGGCATTATCCATACTTGTAGCGACTTAAGGTCGTAATTGCATAAAATGCATAAAATTATTGTTGATTATTTTGACATAAAAGTATGATTTTTGCTTTTTTTGCCAAATTGGGGTAATTAAAAGTAAATTGAGTGTATTTTCCGTAATTATTTGAAAGTAGACGCAATCCTGAAGTACATTTTGTGTCTTTTGCACCGCTTCCATAATTCTTGTCCGAGGCGCAGCCGAGTCATTCACAACATTTTCAGTTAATAAACACAAAACAGGTGAACAGGTCTATATTTTTATAATCTTTTTCCACACAAAAGGCTAAAAAGTATGATTTTTGATAAATTTAGAAAAAAAAATGCACTATTTTCATATTGTAGTTTTCCCAATTGGCATTTTTTTTGTAATTTTTTGCTTAAAAACGGTAAATATGCATTATCTATACTTATAGCCATATTGACATTATGCATAAAATACAGACAATTTTGACATAAAAGTATGATTTTTGAATTCTTGTCAAATTGGGGTAATTAGAAGTAAATTGAGTGTTTTTTCCATAATAATTCGGGAGCAGACACAATCCCAAAGTCCATTTTTTGTGTTTCGCATCGATTTCACACAAAATGGTAAAAAGTATGATTTTTGGTAAGTTTAGAAAAAATTTGCAAATTTTTTACACTTTTTTTTTAATATTGTAGTTTTCCCAATTGGCATTTTTTGTAATTTTTGCTTAAAAACGGTAAATAGGCATTATCTATAGTTGTAGCCATATTGACATTATCCATAAAATACAGAAAATTTTGACATAAAATTATGATTTTTGAATTTTTGCCAAATTGGGGTAATTAGAACTAAATTGAGTGTTTTTTCCATAATAATTCGGAAGCACACGCAATCCCAAAGTATGTTTTTTGTGTTTCGCCTCGGTTTCACAATCCCGATCCGAGGCGAAGCCGAGTCATTCACCATATTTTCAGTTAATAAACACAAAACAGTTGAACGTATTGAGGAATACTTTTTTCGTCTGTTTTTATAATTTTTTTTTCACAAAAGTGTAAAAAGTAGGATATTTGGTAAATTTGCAAATTTTTTATATTTTTTTTCATATTGTAGTTTTCCCAATTGGTCATTTTTTGTAATTTTTGGTTAAAAACGGTAAATATGCATTATCTGTACTTGTAGCTATATTGACATTATCCATAACAATTTCGTAAAATTCAGAAAATTTTGACATAAAAGTATGATTTTTGAATTCTTGCCAAATTGGCGTTATTAGAAGTAAATTGAGTGTATTTTCCATAATAATTCGGAAGCAGACGCAATCCCAATATGCGTGTTTTTTTTGTTTCGCATCGATTTCACACAAAATGGTAAAAAGTATGATTTTTGGTAAAAAATTGCAATTTTTTTACATTTTTTTTTTATATTGTAGTTTTCCCAATTGGCATTTTTTGTAATTTTTGCTTAAAAACGGGAAATATGCATTATGTATACTTGTAGCCATATTGACATTATCCATAACAATGTCGTAAAACAGAAAATTTTGACATAAAAGTATGATCTTTGAATTCTTGCCAAATTGGGGTAATTAGAAGTAATTTGGGTGTATTTTCCATAATAATTCGGTAGTAAACGCAATCCCAAAGTATGTTTTTTGTGTTTCGCATCGGTTTCACAATCTCGATCCGAGGCGCAGCCGAGTCATTCACTACATTTTCAGTTAATAAACACAAAATAGGTGAACGTATTGTAGAATACTTTCTTCGTCTATATTTTTATAATCATTTTGCACACAAAAAGGTAAAAAGTATGATTTTTGGTAAACTTAGAAAAAAAAATACACTTTTTCATATTGTAGTTTTCCCATTTGGCATTTTTTTGTAATTTTTGCTTAAAAACGGTGAAAATACATTATATACACTTGTAGCCATATTGACATTATCCATAACAATGTCGTAAAATACAGAAAATTTTGACATAAAAGTATGATTTTTGAATTCTTGCCAAATTAGGGTAATTAGAAGTAAATTGAGTGTATTTTCCATAATAATTCGGAAGCAGACGCAATCCCAATATGCGTTTTTTTTGTTTCGCATCGATTTTACATAAAATGGTAAAAAGTATGATTTTTGGTAAGTTCAGAAAAAAATTTGCAAATTTTTTACACTTTTTTTCATATTGTAGTTTTCCCAATTGGCATTTTTTGTAATTTTTGGTTAAAAACGGTAAATATGCATTATCTGTACTTGTACCTATATTGACATTATCCATAAAATACAGAAAATTTTGACATAAAAGTATGATTTTTGAATTCTTGCCAAATTGGGGTAATTGAAGTAAATTGAGTGTATTTTCCATAATAATTCGGAAGCAGACGCAATCCCAAAGTCCGATTTTTGTGTTTCACATCGATTTCACATAAAATGGTAAAAAGTATGATTTTTGATAAGATTAGAAAAAAATTGCAAATTTTTTACAATTTTTTTTTCATATTGTAGTTTTCCCAATTGGCATTTTTTGTAATTTTTGCTTAAAAACGGTAAATAGGCATTATCTATAGTTGTAGCCATATTGACATTATCCATAAAATACAGAAAATTTTGACATAAAAGTATGATTTTTGAATTTTTGCCAAATTGGGGTAATTAGAAGTAAATTGAGTGTATTTTTCATAATAATTTGGGAGCAGACGCAATCCCAAAGTCCGTTTTTTGTGTTTCGCATCGATTTCACACAAAATGGTAAAAAGTATGATTTTTGATAAGATTAGAAAAAATTTGCAAATTTTTTACAATTTTTTTTTTCATATTGTAGTTTTCCCAATTGGCATTTTTTGTAATTTTTGCTTAAAAACGTTAAATATGCATTATCTATACTTGTAGCCATATTGACATTATCCATAACAATGTCGTAAAATACCGAAAATTTTGACGTAAAAGTATGATTTTTGAATTCTTGCCAAATTGGGCTAATTCAAGTAAATTGAGTGTATTTTCTATAATAATTCGGAAGCAGACGCAATCCCAAAGTCCGTTTTTTGTGTTTCACATCGATTTTACATAAAATGGTAAAAAGTATGATTTTTGGTAAGTTCAGAAAAAAAATTGCAATTTTTTTACATTTTTTTTTATATTGTAGTTTTCCCAATTGGCATTTTTTTGTAATTTTTGCTTAAAAACGATAAATATGCATTATCTATACTTGTAGCCATATTGACATTATCCATAACAATGTCGTAAAATACAGAAAATTTTAACATAAAAGTATGATTTTTGAATTCTTGCCAAATTAGGGTAATTAGAAGTAAATTGAGTGTATTTTCCATAATAATTCGGGAACAGACGCAATCCCAAAGTATGTTTTTTGTGTTTCGCATCGATTTCACAATCTGATCCGAGGCGCAGCCGAGTCATTCACCACATTTTCCCAAAAAAAAAACCAAATGAACTTATGAAAAACAGTTTATTTATAAACCGAACAAATATTTTATCACTCGATAAGACAATTGCTTGTTTTGTGATAAAACAATCTAAATTTGGCCCAGAACCCAAACCCACCCCATGTGGAAAACGTTGAAAATTCCACCTGGTAATAATCGAGGTGATTCTTATCACAAAGGTTAAGCGTTATCACCGTTTCGTAATAGCAATGCGTGCGCACAAATTCCATAATAAATAGCGCAACGCAACGCAACACCCAGCATAGCGCTCCAGCTCGGCTCCATAACCCAGCACCCATCATGGAACAGATGACCAAGAAAGAGACCATGGCCCTCAGGGACAAGCACATAGGGTAAGGGTTTTTTTTTTGTTGTTTTCCATGGAAGGAGTATTGATTTTTAGGGTCGCCCTGTATTGATTTTTTATTTTATTATTTTTTTTTTCTAGAAAGTCGTGTCAGTTGTTCTTCCGTCAAGATCCGTTGAAGATAATGAGGGCGAAGGCCCAATATATGTATGACGAGAAAGGCGACGCCTATTTGGACTGTATTAATAATGTTGCTCATGGTGAGTTTTTTTTATTTGTTTATGATGAGTTTTTTATAGGTTTTTTATTTTTTTTCCAAATTAAAATGTGCCAGTGGCAAGTTTATGATTATGATGACTCTATTAATGTCAAATACAAATATTTGTGTACAGTTTATTTCAATCATGCAAGTTTCAGATTTGTTTTTTTTTTATTGTTTGTTCGATTTTGTCAAGTCAGCGATTGGTCATTTGTTTCTAGAGTGGTATTATCGATAATTTTTAATTATTAAAGGTCGATCACGTGACTTGAAATACTTCCTATTTATCAAAGTTCTTTTTATATCGTTTTAAAAATATTTAGTTTTTTACTTTTTTATATTTATAAAATTTAATTGTGATTTTGTGTGGGCATAAATCTAAACTTTATTTCAAAAGGACAAGACTGACATTTATTTTTTTGATTGTTTTGTTTTTGTGAATTTTCTGATGAATTTCTTCGAATTTTGTTATTTTTTCACTTTTCAAATTTACAAAACATGAATTTCGTGATTTTCGTTTTTTTTATTTGTGTAAATGTCATTTTATGTGTAGAAAGACACAAAACAGTGAACTTTAATTTGGGTTTTGTTTTGCTATATTGTTTTCTACTACATACTTTGTGTATAATTTTTTTCATTAATTTTTGTTTTTGGTGTGTACTTTGTTTCAAATGTATAAAAGAGGATATTTCTACTACCTACACCTACTATACTATTTCTTTTAGTGTTCTCAGATATTTTGAATTTTTTTTGGTTTGTACATTTTTTTTGACAATTTTGAAATATTTTATTGATATAAGATTTATTTCAACCCTATAGAAGTCGGCAAATCTTAGAAGCCAAACTTTGTACTTGTGTACATTTCGTTTTAGATCTATAAAAAATAAAAATATTCAACTAAACGCTTTTACGTTATTTTTCCGAAATCAATTTTATATTCTAGACTCAGTTTCCGATTTATAAAAATACTGTTTCTACATTTTAAAAGTATAGAACTTTGCCAGGACATAACAACTTATAGATTTTAAATGTGTAGAATCCGTTTCATCTCTATAAAAATTAGAACTTTTTTTTCGTTAAATACTTTTTTGATTTTTTAGGTCTAAAGTCTTGGATTTTTAGCAAATTTTAGAATATGATTTCAGATTTTTTTATTGGGTTTTGAATTTGAAATTAAATTTTGGGTTCCACTTTTAATATAAAGTCTGTTTCAAATTTTTAAGAATCGAAAGGTTACTTTTTGCGTTTTTTAAATCAATTTCTTTGTGTAAACTCTTCAAGTATATAAGAACGTACGTTACTTTAATAGAGATTTTTAACACATTTTTTAATATGATTATTATTATTATATTTTTTATAAAATTAATTTTAGACATATGACGTCATTTATTTTTTAAATATTTTAAACTGAAATTGTTTGTTCATTTTAACATAACTTCTGTGTATAAGTAAGTCTAAAATTAAGTTTTTTTAGTAAAGTCAGTTTCTGATCTATAAAAACTGCAACTAGTGAAATTTAACATAGACTCAATTCCAATCCGATAAGACATTTTTTTCTGACATTTGTTTATAACATAATTTCTGTTTCGTAATTTTGAAATTAGGGCTGGAAGATACTTTTTTTTAAGTAGTCAGTTTCAAAACTAGAAAAACTGAAATTCCTGAAATATAACATAGACACAATTCCAATCCTATAAGATACTTTTTTTAGTCGAATTTGTGGATTTTAACTTAATTTTTGTTTCATAATGTTGAAATCGAGGATAGAATATACTTTTTTAAGTAAAGTCAATTTCAGTTCTATAAAATTTTAAATCTAATATAGACTCAATTGCAATCATATAAGACAATTTTTGGTCAAATTTGTGGATTTTAACATAATTTCTGTTTTGTAATTTTGAAATCAAGGCTGGAAGATACTTTTTTTAAGTAAAGTTAATTTCAGAACTATAAAAACTGCAACTCGTGAAATTTATCATAGACTCAGTTCTAATCCTATAAAACAATTTTTTTGTCGAATTTGTGGATTTTAACATAATGTCTGTTTCATAATTTTGAAATCAAGGCTAGAAGTTATTTTTTAAGTAGTCAGTTTCAGAACTATAAAAACTGCAACTCGTGAAATTCAACATAGACTCAATTCCAATCCTATTAGACAATTTTTCCAGTCGAATTTGTGGATTTTAACATAATTTCTGTTTCATAACTTTGAAATTAAGGCTAGAAGATACTTTTTTAAAGTAAAGTCATTTTCAGAACTATAAAAACTGTAAGTTGTGAAATTTAACATAGATTCAATTCCAATCCTATATGACAATTTTTTGTCAAATTTGTGGATTTTAGCATAATTTCTGTTTCATAATTTTGAAATTAAGATAATTTTTTTTAAGTAAAGTCAGTTTCAGAACTATAAAATTTACAACTCGTGAAATTTAACAGACTCAATTCTAATCCTATAAGACAATTTTTTGTCAAATTTGTGAATTTTAACAAAATTTTTGTTTTATAATTTTGAAATTAAGGCTAGAACAAACTTTTTTCAAGATTCATAGACTCAATTCCAATCTGTTCATAATTCTGTTTCATAATTTTGAAAGTAAGACTAGGAGATAATGTTTTTGAGTGAAGTCAATTTCAGTTCTATAAAAATTTAAATCTAATGCACTCAATTTCAATCTTATAAGACAATTTTTTGTCAAATTTGAGTATTTTAACATAACTTTTGTTTCATAATGTTGAAATAGAGAATAGAAGTCAATTTTAGTTGTATAAAATTTCAAATCTAATATAGACTCAATTCCAATCCTATAAGACAATACTTTGTCAAATTTGTGGATTTTAACATAATTTCTGTTTCATAATTTTGAAAGTAAGACTAGAAGATAATGGTTTCGAGTGAAGTCAATTTCAGTTCTATAAAAATTTAAATCTAATATAGACTCAATTACAATTCTATAAGACAGTTTTTTTGAATTTGT